TTTATTTTTTTTATAGCTTTTTCGCTATTTTTTCCCATCATTTTTTTATAGCTTTTCGCTATTATTATTTTTTTTCTAGCATTTCGCTCATTATTATTTATTAACCGGGAGACTTTATTTACTTCACCGGATTTTTTTTTAAGCATATCAACTGTTTAATGTGGATTCCTCCATCAATATTGACCATTTCTTATCACGTCCGTAGGTCACCAATGTGGGGGAATTAATTATCGACTATGTCAGCCTTCATCTATGAAAAGGTACCTCGTGATAGAATCAAGTTAACATGTCTTATATACTAGTGAATTGGTTCTTATATACTAGTGAATTGGTATTTAATATTTATAGTGGTAGTTACGCCACAAGATAATGTCTGCGTTGGACCGACTGCTCACGCTGAGCTAACAAAAAAGTATTTTGTTGGCGTCAGCGTGACGTCGACGTCCCGCTGACGCCCAGATAAGGCGTTTGTCCTAAGAAACCAGACCTTTACACTTGAAATAATTTATTTCACAGTTCTATTTACAAAAATATAAAATACTAGCTCGATCAATAAGACTTGAAGCACTCAAAGATATAAAATGGCGTAAATATAAATATATTAATGCTCAAAAATAAATAAATATAAATTCATAGCCATTTTGTTTTTTCTCCACAAGAAAAAAAGAAGAAAAGAACGAACAATCTGAATAAAAGCAAAAGAAACAGTTAATTGGGTATACTATCGCCTACGTCACAGGTCGTGTTATTCCTACTAAATTTGACTAGTAAACAGCATTTTCTGCAAACCTGATTTCTAGCAACATTAAACGAAGTGTGTTGTTATAAGTTGACAAGCTACTCGTCAGGTTGGAAATGTATTAGTCTAGTTCCAATTGAAATAACTTATTTTGTTGTTTTATCTAAGTTTCTGAATTTAATAAACATATTTAAAACTCAGCTTATTAATTAAACTAAAAGGTAAATATTATTCCTAGTAAAATTTTCGGAGTGGAAGTAGTTGTGTTTTTTTCATATTATACCCAATTAAGCAACTTAATTTTATGAACTAGATCAAAGCTAAATATTAAGCAGACGATAATTCTCAACACCTATATTATTCATTCATTGTCTTGAACTTATTAAACATTAAGGATTAAAACTAAATAAGTTTGAAATTCATTTTCAGCATAAATAAAGCGTAATTTCTCAAAATAAATTTGAAACAACCGATTAAAGTTTATTTTAATTTTTTATTTTTTTGTAATAACTCACTCATAGTTACGCCACATTACTCCCTTTCCAGAATTTTATCTGTGATAGAATTCGATGAACGATTACCACTAGTTGATTCAGGCTGTTTATTCATTTATATCAATTTTGCTCTTTTCTTTACATAGCATTTCGCTCATTATTTTTTTCCCTTCATTTTTTTGTTTTTATAGCATTTCGCTCTTTCTTGTTTTTTCTTCTTAATTTTTGTTTTTTTTAGCATTTCGCGGGCAGGTACTTCGGCTAAATTCATATCCAAGTCCAAGTAAGAACACCTGCGTATGCAACGTCCCATACGTTTTTAAAAAGTACAAAAGGCAACAATTACCTGAAGGATATTTTCTTTCGAAAGGTCATAAATGATATGATACTACGTTGAAATAAAACATCGATTCCTTTTAATATGTCACTGTCAAGCTATTTTTAGCCTATATTTCATTCTCATGTATTAAACTCAAAATATTTTTCTCTCAATCGAAAATCCTTCTTAATAGTTTAGTTCGACTTTTAAAATTAAAATAGTGCAAAAAGTTAGTTTTACAATTCATAAATTAAAAATTACGAGAAAGAGAGAGAAAATATTAACACTTTAAAAACAAGTTGCTTACTGTCTGAATCAGAAATATTGCAGATATTGTATATCTTGTGCTTTTGCCATATCTCATCTCTAGAAACTGAAATAAAATACCCTTGTCATATTGTAACAATACTCATTTCATGAAAATATAGTTTTTTTAAAAAATTTTATTTATGTCGAAAACATTTAAAATTCAGAATTAGAAACATAAATATAAACCAATCACATGTTCTTCGATTCAATTTCCAATAAATTAGATATTTCTCAAAATAAAAATAAAAAATTGTTACAAATATACAATATTTTCATAAAAATATTAATTTTGCTATATTATAGTTAAGCTACTTGATGAAAAATTACAAAATATTTTACAGTAAACAACGCAAAAAAAGTTTCTCTAAATCTTAGAATAAACAGTGCAGGAAAAGTTGTGATAAACAAAACAACTTAGATTTAAACTGGAAATTGTTAACTAAGATTTTTTTTTAAAATTGCTTAAATTTAAACAAGTCTGCCCGTAACTTAGCTTAATTTCTTAAAAGTTTTTTATTTTTATTTTCATGACAAAATTTATTTTTTAACTATCATTAGAGTTTTTTTAAAAACGAAATTACATTGAGAAAGTTTCTTTTTTTTTTCTTAATGACTGGGATGTATTGTCCCATTGGCCTCTGATGCCAGAACTGCTACTCTCTTCTCGTTACGCAATGGGTACCTGTGGCGAAGCCGAGGCGGTGGAGCAGCATCGCTCTGATAGACGTCACACAACCACAAACCCGTTTATAGGGCTTATCACATTCACACACAAAGGAGAAAGGACATAGAACACACACACAGAAAGAAACATCCATGCCCTGAGCAGGATTCGAACCCGCAACCATCGGCTCCTTAGTCAGGCACGCTAACCACTCGGCCACCTGGTCGGTACACTGAGAAAGTGGTGAATAGAAAATTGTTTTAGTATACCAAATACTATACCTCATAAGCTGTGGACACACCACATTGAAAGTACACCGGCACATATAAATGAGAGGACAAATACATGCCAAAAGCTGTGCCAAATGACATAATCACGTATTGAATACCATATCTGTAGACTTCTGCTGGCGTGGATATCATAGTTCCAGTTGCTGTAAGAGTTGCGGTGATTGAGAGAACAACGGGCAATGTAGACATGTTTTTCCCTGCAAATAAATACTCTTGTACGGTCTGTTGCCGATTACCAGAAAGTCGAAATTTGATGCCTATAGCAGCAGAAAGGAGTAGAAATACAGTGATTACTGCATAGTCAGCTACACTCAGGTAATGTCTTAATTCCATGCTGCCTTCTCCCATAGACCTTTCCTGGAGGAAAAAAATGCGTAAGGAGTAAAATTTGTCTAAAAAATGCAAAAAAAAATATTTTTTTTTAATTTTTTATAATATTTTCAACTTAATTTTTATCCCCTTGGGAATCACTGATAAGTACTGACACAAAACTGATAACTGATTTTTGGTCAAAATATAAGAAATAGGTAAATAGGGATAAAAGTTGAAACTGACAAAAGAGGATTCATAGTGCAAGAAAAATTTTTCCTGATCTATTTGAGCTAGTCAGTTCAAATTTTATATTTTAGGTTTCTGATGTTTTTTGGGAGTTTTAAACGCGAATAAAAGTATTCTGAAAAGGTTTTAACATATTTAAAATAAAATAAAAAATAAAAACTTTTGCCAGGTATTTAAAAACAGTGAAACCAAACGAGCTGTAAAATCAATGGAAAATGTCTATCGATTCATAAACATAAATACTTTAAACAAACACTAATCAATTGAGAAAAAAAAAAGCAAGAAACTCATTTTTTTACTTGATGATATATTATCGTGTTATGTAAATAGCATGAGTAGTTGGAATAATGAGTAATGACCAGTACTGAGAGTTTATAATATTTCCTATTCAAAAGTATATTTTTTTTAAAAAAAAAATACGATTTCAACATTCCTAAATAAAGATTTTAACTTATCAGGACATTAATTTTTATGATTTACTCCAACGTTTTCGTCAAGTTTTCAATATGTTATAATAAAAGATGTTGGGATGTATTAAAATTTGTTTCTTCCTTCCATATACTTGATAAGCATTGAAAACTAAGTCTATTTTATTAATTTTAACCCTTTGCGTACCGAAGGGAGATTTACTAATGGTATTTCCATATAGCTTTGAAATGAAATAAAATATCGGCCTCTCCCTTTATGTTTATTACTTTTAGTTTATAGCAAACGATTATTTGAAGTTGAACATCACCTATGCAACTAATTAGTTTTTGATGCTTCGTTCAAAGACGCTATTTTATATCTCAATTTCATTCTAACTCGATCAGTTTATTCACATTTTTTATTGAACATGCAACAAAGTGTGAAAACCTAATTTTACAATACCATATTAAATCTTTTTTATTGATTCATAGTCATTTTCAGCCAGTTATAATACAAAATACTAAATGTCAAACTTTAATTAAAATTTTATACTCCAGTGCAAGTCCCAAGCTAAAAATTTTATAAAAAATTAAAAAAAATAATACCGAATTTTAACTAAATATTTGTCAAAGTGTGGAATAGACATTATTTAATGTGACAAAAAAGTTTCATAAGTTTATGATAGTTTTTTATTAATTTTGATAAATAGAGGTTAAGCAGAATTTTAATATTTTTATATACCTTTAAGGTATATCATGTAGAACAAATTATAAGACCATTTCAATGACAAATCGAAGCTTCAAAAAAAATTTAATGGACATCATCATCATCATAGTTGGTCAGACAGCCCAATGTGAGCCAATGCCTCCCTCTGAAGATTTCTCCACGACGACTTCCGATTTATCTTTTATCTCCAATTTTTTTCATTAATTGCAAAAAAGTCAGACTCCACTGAGAGTCTTTTTCCAGTCGGTCTAAAAAGCAGTATCTTTTTTATTCTGTTGTCGTCACTCATTCGAATCACGTGGGTGATCCAATTCATTCTATTTATTTTTATGTATTTAATAATATCAGGCTGTTTATAAATCTTGTACAGTTCAAAGTTAAATCTCCTTCTCCAGTTATTGTTTTCATTTACACCACCAAGTATACCCCGCAAAATCTTTCTTAAATATTGCGATACATTTTTCCATCAGTTTTGCATTGTCCACGCTTCAGAGGCGTATGTCAAGACTGGAAGGACAAGAGTTTTGTAGATTACGAACTTTGTTTTTTCTAAAAAGAAACCTAGATTTAATAAATTTCTCAGCCCACAGACAGCCCTATTTGCCGAATAGAGTCGGTTTTTTTAATGGACATCAGCAAGTATTAAAAGTTAAATTTTTAAAGCCCCCTATTGATATATATCAAAACATAATTTATTTCCTATGATGTTTTATTTCTTACCTATAGTATAATGCGTCAATTGCTTTGGAATCGCTAGGGTAGATTCATTAGTTTATAAAAAATAGTGAGAAGAAATTTAATACTTGAATGACGCTTTTAAATTACCATAATATTAAGCTGATGTCATTTATTCAGTACAGAATACACGTTGTACAAACTATTTTCATTTGACTAACTTTGAATATAACTTAAATAACACACACACTATAAGTTCAATAGTGTTATAAAATAATGAAAAATAATAAATCTTGAATGAAAGTTATTTTTCGCGTGGAATTTTCTTTGGATAAACGAATTTTATACTTATGTGCTAAGAAAATTGCAATTTACTTTAAAAGTTCTCGAGATATAGCGAAATACGCAAAAATAAATTAGCATATTACAATATAAAACTGCAAATAAAATTAACATTAAGGGATCCAAAATTTGGACCATTTTCTTGACCAAACTATTGAGAACATAATTCCTAGGTTGCCGCTACCCCCTATATTTTGGGGGTTTGATATCCGAATCTGTAGAGAAAAAGGCATGTTTATTCAGAGAAAGTACGTTTTTAAGTCTGATTTCGTCTGCATTAATTAATTAGTATATTTGAGGTCACACCTTAAAACAGTTAAGATTTTAACGTGCTAGATAGTAGCAGATTCTAGGGGTGCACAACCTGCTGCCCATGGGTCACATGTGACCTGCCAATCATTGATGTGCGACCAGTAAAAACTTGTGAACACGATAATTTATTAATTTTTTTTTTTTGAAAAATTAAAAAAATGTCGAAAATTTTGAATTGCACATTTGAATAATCAATTTTCGATCCACGCAATTTGCACAGATTGTATTGTAAATCAATATTGTCTCTTGATCACTCTTTCCACGGTAATTGCTTTTAAATTCCACGAGATTCTTACGATACCAAATATTTTTATTATTACACTACGATATGCGAATTTCAAAATTTGAGAAATTGATTTTTATCTCGCCTTATTTTCGCCGATTTAGTCAGAAATCCAACTATTTTTCAATCATTTATTTTCTCTTTGGCCGTTACAGGTGCTCATTTCTATGTGGTTTTTAAAATCCCGATACATTTAATAAAATATTTCGATCCGTGAGCTTTAAATCGCTCATTTAATCGATCACTTTTTGACGAGTTTTATTTACGCCTGCTCACTGTTTGTAGTTGCTCACTGTTTGTAATTTAGTTTTAAATTTTTCTTGTAGCTTAGGTGTTTTTTTTAAGGAAAAAAACGTTTTTCATTTAAAATTCATAAAACCTCGAATAATTCAGAAAATAGAAATCATATTTGAAGAATAATACCAAATAATTATTAATTTTTTTACTATGGTGGTTTTGTTTAAACCATAGATTAAAAAAAATGATAAATTCCTATTACTCATTTAAAATATGTATTTTTTTATTCTTTCATTCTGGGAGCTTTGCAGTTTTTTTATTTTATTTTTTGTTAGAATTTATTTTAGAATAAACTTATGAATTACTTGATATGATAAAATAAACCCGGTTATTTTCTAATTCATATATGGGTTATTCTCACTGAAAAGGTATAAATAGACTAAAAAATTTTCATAAATTAAAGTAATTAAAAAAGTGATAAAAATTACATAAATGCTTTTATTTATTTTTGTTATATGTCCTCACAATAATGGTCAAGTTTTCTATTTTATTTTTTACAAGATTTAAAATATTTCAAATTCTGTCTTGTCCACGGAGGAGATATAATAGTCGACGGTGGAGACATTTTGTGTTATAAAATATAAAATGTCAATGAAGACTAATTCATTAATTATTGGGTAGAACTGATATGAGTTTAACATTAATAAGTAAATAATAAAATATTTCATTATTAGAGATAGAGCTACTTCCGATTAATCATGCTGCTATGAAAGGAAACATGCATTTTTAAACTAATTGATTATCTTTAAAAATACAAACAAATTAACACATTTGTTCTATTTTAAAAAATATCAATTAAAAGAAAATAGTCTTTTAATTATTGAAATTGTATTATGGTTATCTAACACATTGTCTCTTCCATTGACTTAACAAGTCCACGGAGGAGACAAAAACTAGTTCTTGAATTTTTCGGATTTTTGATTATAAGAATACAAAAATTGAGCAGTTCTTTTTATTAAATATACTATTTTTGCAGTCTAAAATTTATCTCTCAAAAATAAAATAATTTTCTCTTACCTTCTTTATGATGTCCACGGAGTATACATTGAGAACTTTGCCAAACCCCAGTTGAATACATCAATCCGAAATTGACACCAAAGAGAATAAAAACAACTGATAGTTGACATTAGAAATTAGAATGGTTACCTTTCCCACCAGCTGTCTTATAGGAATTTCACATATGCTGCCTTTCGATGAAATGAATGCGACCCTTTCCTAATATTTATTACTAAGGGACTTAAAAAATCACCTTTTTCTGAGAATGACCCATATATTGATCTATCAATTATTGGTAAAGAAGGGAAATATTTTTTTTTAAAAACAGTATTTGTTTTTTCATAATTAAAATTATTTCATTTTCTGTAAATGCATTACCAATTTGACTGATAAAAAAATTTAATCCTTAGAACACTAATCTTTTTAATAAAAATTATCATATTTATCGTCAATATGTTCAAATATGCGTTCGGCCTTTCGCAATTCAATCTTCTGTGCAAGTGGCCCTTATCTCAGAAAAGTTGCGCATTCAACGTCAGATTCGATCATTAGATCAATAATTATCAAAAATAGTGTCGAATAAAAATTAAATAGCTTTTTGTTCCCTCAAAACTTATAAGTAGTGATTTAAACCAATGCCTCTCTCTCTGATCTGAATTTGTTCATTTCAGTTACAAAATTTAAAAGAATACAGCATGTTGATAAATCTTATTTTGCGAATACGATGAGAATACAAGTAAATAAAACAGTG